GCCTCTGCATCACTCTCTTAAGCCTCTGCATCACTCTCTTGAGCCTCTGCATCACTCTCTTCAGCCTCTGCATCACTCTCTTAAGCCTCTGCTTCCCTCTCTTGATCCTCTGCATCACTCTCTTGAGCCTCTGCATCACTCTCTTGATCCTCTGCATCACTCTCTTGAGCCTCTGCATCACTCTCTTGAGCCTCTGCATCACTCTCTTAAGCCTCTGCATCCCTCTCTTGAGCCTCTGCATCCCTCTCTTAAGCCTCTGCTACACTCTCTTCCGCCTCTGCATCACTCTCTTAAGCCTCTGCATCACTCTCTAGAGCCTCTGCATCACTCCCTTGAGCCCCTGCATCCCTCTCTCAAGCCTCTGCATCCCTCTCCTGAGCCTATGCATCCCTCTCTTAAGCCTCTGCATCACTCTCTTAAGCCTCTGCATCACTCTCTATAGCCTCTGCATCACTCTCTTCAGCCTCTGCATCACCCTCTTAAGCCTCTGCTTCCCTCTCTTGATCCTCTGCATCACTCTCTTGAGCCTCTGCATCACTCTCTTGATCGTCTGCATCACTCTCTTGAGCCTCTGCATCACTCTCTTGAGCCTCTGCATCACTCTCTTGAGCCTCTGCATCACTCTCTTGAGCCTCTGCATCACTCTCTTGAGCCTCTGCATCCCTCTCTTGAGCCTCTGCATCACTCTCTTGAGCCTCTGCATCACTCTCTTGAGCCTCTGCATCACTCTCTTAAGCCTCTGCATCCCTCTCTTGAGCCTCTGCATCACTCTCTTGAGCCTCTGCATCCCTCTCTTGAGCCTCTGCATCACTCTCTTGAGCCTCTGCATCCCTCTCTTGAGCCTCTGCATCACTCTCTTGAGCCTCTGCATCACTCTCTTGAGCCTCTGCATCACTCTCTTGAGCCTCTGCATCACTCTCTTGAGCCTCTGCATCCCTCTCTTGAGCCTCTGCATCACTCTCTTGAGCCTCTGCATCACTCTCTTGAGCCTCTGCATCACTCTCTTGAGCCTCTGCATCACTCTCTTGAGCCTCTGCATCACTCTCTTGAGCCTCTGCATCACTCTCTTGAGCTCTCACTTTGAGCCTCTGCATCACTCTCTTGAGCCTCTGCATCACTCTCTTGAGCCTTGCATCCCTCTCTTGAGCCTCTGCATCACTCTCTTGAGCCTCTGCATCACTCTCTTGAGCCTCTGCATCACTCTCTTAAGCCTCTGCATCACTCTCTTAAGCCTCTGCATCACTCTCTTGAGCCTCTGCATCACTCTCTTGAGCCTCTGCATCACTCTCTTGATCGTCTGCATCACTCTCTTGAGCCTCTGCATCACTCTCTTGAGCCTCTCTATCACTCTCTTGAGCCTCTGCATCACTCTCTTGAGCCTCTGCATCACTCTCTTAAGCCTCTGCATCCCTCACTTGATTCTCTGCATCACTCTCTTGAGCCTCTGCATCATGCTCTTGAGCCTCTGCATCCCTCTCTTAAGCCTCTACATCATTCTCTTGAGCCTCTGCATCACTATCTTGAGCCTTGATCATAAAGCGAGGTTTCGTATTATTTAGATCCTAGAAAAGACTTGACAAAACACAAAATACTTCATTTTCAATCAACTATTTGTTTCTCGTTAAAATACTGAGTAAGATATTGAAAAAAGCAGAAATTCTGTTTTTATTGCATATATCGACGTTTCAGCCGGAATAGAGCGGTTATACGTGTACATCTTCCCTCGGTAATATAAACGTAAAATCAGGAACATTTTAGTTAATTCTAATGAAAACACATTGTTTTTTATCATTTGTATTGGAAACAACATTGTCATATGTCTTTTCTTGGATCTAAATAATACGAAACCTCGCTCTATGATTTGAGGTTAAAATCCTCAAATATGGTTAAATAGTGACTTTTTTAACGTTTTTCATGTACTTTGATATTACGTAAATATATTCATTTTTACCAATATTTCGATACTGTTTTATGTCGTATCACGATATGTGATTTGGCCTTCAAATCTCAGAATTTCGCATAATATAGCATTTTAAGCAAGTTTTCTTGCGTTTTGTTTCGTACAAAACAATCATCGAATTTAGCAATATTTTGACGTTTATCATCCCCTTTTTCTTTATGTAATTTAAACAAAATATCATCGAATTAGGCAATATTTTGCCGTTTTTCCACGTTTTTGTGAATTTTCAGTTTATTGGTATTAATTCATTATATATACGATAAAAATGATGCAATGATGATGGTTTGGGCAAAATGTGATCCATCGCCTCCTTCAGTAATTGTCATATTTTCGGTATAAAATGTCGTAGTTTCAAACTGCGAAAACATGCAGAAAGCCGGAATTTGGCTCCAAAGTATGGCTCAACGGTCGAATTTGGGATGTTTGGGATATTTTGAAAACTGAAGGGAGGGTTTGAGCAAAATGTGATCCATCACCGCTCTCAGTAATTGGCATATTTTCGGTATAAAAAGTCGTAATTTCAAACTGCGAATACGTGCAGAGAGCCAGAATTTGGCTCCAAAATATAGCTTAATGGTCGAATTTGGGATGTTTGGGATATTTTGAAAACTGCATGGAGGGTTTGGGCAAAATGTGATCCATACCCGCTCTCAGTAATTGGCATATTTTCGGTATAAAAATTCGTAATTTCAAACTACGAATTCATGCAGAAAGCCAAAATTTGGCTCCAAAATATGGGTCAAGTGTCAAATTTGGGATGTTTGGGATATTTTGGAAACTGCAGGGAGGGTATGGCGAAAATGTGATCCATCGCTGCTCTCAGTAATTAGCATATTTTCGGTCTAAAAAGTCGTAATTTCAAACTGCGAATATGTGCAGAGAGCCAGAATTTGGCTCCAAAATATGGCTCAAGCGTCTAATTCGGGATGTTTGGGATATTTTGAAAACTGCAGGTAGGGTATGGCGAAAATGTGATCCATCGCAGCTCTCAGTAATTAGCATATTTTCGGTATAAATATTCGTAACTTCAAACTGCGAATAATTGCAGAGAGCCAGAATTTGGCTCCAAAATATAGCTCAAGGGTAAAATTTTGGATGTTTGAGATAATTTGAAATTTGCAGGGGGGTTTGGGCAAAATGTGATCCATCGCGGCACTCATTAATTTACATATTTTCGGTATAAAAAGTCGTAATTTCAAACTGCGAATATGTGCAGAGAGCCCCAATTTGGCTACAAAATATGGCTCAAGGGTCAAATTTGGGATGTTTGGGATATTTTGAAAACTGCAGGAGGTTTGAGCAAAATGTGATCCATTGCCGCTTTCTGTAATTGGCATATTTTCGGTATAAAAAGTCGAAATTTCAAACTGCGAATACATGCAGAAAGCCAAAATTTGGCTCCAAAATATGGCTCACGGGTAGAATTTGGGATGTTTGGTATATTTTGAAAACTGCAGGGAGGGTTTAGGCAACATGTGACCCATTGCTGCTCTCAGTAATTGGCATATTTTCGGTATAAAATGACGTAATTTCAAAATGCGAATACGTGATGAGAGCCCGAATTTGGCTACGAAATATGGCTCAAGCGTCGAATTTGAGATGTTTGGTTAGGTTAGGTTAGGTTAGGTTAGGTTAGGTTAGGTTAGGTTAGGTTAAATTTCTTAATTTCCGAGGAGGGGGAGTTGTAATGATCTGGGGCTCAGATCATTAGTTCTCCCTTCTCCCCTCCTTTCCCTCTCCTTCTCCCCTCCTTTCCTTCTCCTTCTCCCCTCCTTTCCTTCTCCTTCTCCCCTCCTTTCCTTCTCCCTCTCCCCTCCTTCCTTCTCCCCTCCCCTTGGCCATCATTCGTCTCCTCCTGTTCCCCTCCCCCTGTCGCCCATTTGTCAGGGTCAAGAGGTTGACCTGAGGGTGGTCTTGGATACCGTTGGCTTCCCCCCACTCAACTTCCCCACTCAGATGTTTCCTTCTCCATCCCCCTGTCATCCCCTCTCACTGGTCCCTTCCCCATACGAGGCAGAGTCAAATGTCCCAACCCTTTATCTTAGAGGAGACAGGCGTGAACATAATTTATCAGTTGGTAAACATTGCTCGCAGGTGCACTGGGGCTCCATAGAGGCGCCTTATTTCCCTCCCCATAGCTGGGGAGAGCTGACTCAATCTTCAGGAATTTATGTACCTTTCCACGGCAGATCAGTGAAGGTGATTGGCCTGAGATAAGGGCCAAGTCCTTATTGGCCCTAGAGAGCCAGAACTCAGGCCTACGTGTTAAATGGTTGGCCATTGCCAAAATAATGGGTGGAGCCCTGGGGCTGTATTAGATGGTGGGAGGAGTAATCCTTCCCAGCAATAAGTTGGTAAAACAAAATTTCATCAGTGTGTCTTGGGAGTGTATTAGGAACAGGGCCGCAAGCCCGTATCCTCGGGGCTGAGGGCAGCCATCAACATCTTGGCCGTAGTGCGGGTATTTAAGGTAGAGTAGCACTTGAGTTTCGTGCCCTCAATAAATATCCATTGTGCCTCTAGGGAAATAGAATAGGTTATGTGTTCAAATTGTCTTAATTTACATGTTTCATAAAATAAATTGTATAGCTTGTCCAGTGGTATTCACTTAACTCCCCTTTGATATATTTTGCTACTTTGTCATTTTTAGGTGTTGTATTGGAAGCCCCCCCCCCCAGGTTCTCCTAACAATTAATCGATACTAAAGTTGCCCTTGGATTTAAATTAGTAACGTAAATTACACAAACTAATTTTCCAAAATTTATTACTGAAATTCATATTACCCGGAGTCCCATGGTTACTGATTCCTTGCCTTCCTGGGGGATCGGTGATAGACACATTCAGGTATGGTTGGTCGGGAAGGTGGTGGCAGTGCTTTAATGGTTTTTATTTTATAATTAGTAATAAATTAATAACCCTTATCCTTGGTGTATCTTCCTCATTTAATATTCCTCTTATATACGTGGCCGTCCAGTGAGGGGTCATGCTGGACTGTAACAGTGTTGAGCTGGGGTATTGAGTGAAGAGAGACAGAGATTTACAACAGAGAGCGTATAGTACGATCACGAGAGATAACAAGATAACAGGATTAATACTGGGGAACATTGGGTTATTACAATAGAGGCCGCGGTTATTACGACAGGGTAAAGCGGTCTTTATACTGAGAACATGGTATAAACAGTCAAACAAATCTTCTGTGTATGTACACCTTCAGTAAGAATGAACCAACTGTTAATACATTACATTCTCGTGCCCCTGTGTGGTCTGGTTGCCACGCCAGCATCGCCGAGGAGGTGCACCCAGACACCATCCTCAGAGGGACCTCCGGCTCCACCACGGGGAAGCTGACGACGACGACGGAGGTGCTGCAAGGGACGCCCTTCAGCCGCTTCCCCAGCACCGATGCCAACGACGATGACCACGTCCTCTCCCTCTTCAATAACCGGAAGGGCAACGCATCTAGCGTCGACGATAAGGTGGGAGACTTCTGAAGGTACTGGGGAGAGACAATGACAATGGTATTGTTTGGGGTTGAAGATGGTCATGAGCAACGACAAATACTGAAATACTACTACTACATCTACTGCTACTACTACTACAACTACTACTGCTACTTGTGTAAACCTAAATTATTCCAGACGACCTCTGCGTGCAATGTCACCCATTTGCAACATGGCCGACAGCCCACAGAAGTTAGAAAGGAGCAAAAGCAACACACGGTTGAAGTGAGTCACCCTCGATGAGGTGCAGGTTCCCTCTACGGGTGAACCCCCTGCTACAGGGGCCTCCAATGAACTGTGCTGGATAATTTGTCGCATGAGTACTAACGTAGCAATGTATTCCTTGCTGTATTCTATGTACAGGAGGTTTGGGGTTTGAGCTATTACTCTACGAAGCGTCATGCACCAAACAAATCAGAGTGCCGTGTAAGTCCCAGCCCTCTCGAGAGGCACTCTGTCTAATGAACACTTTTTGGGATGACTCGCTTCACTATACGGTTTCAAGTCGGGATACTCGGGCATCAATCAATGTGCATGCATAATAACACAGTGTTCAGCGGCACATGACACAGCTACCCGTGTAGTGTAATTCACACAGACACGTCCGCAATTGTTGTTTTAGTTTGAATTAATTCATTTACACGGATGAATAAATGACTGACTGGTTTGCCAGTGACCCGCGAATTCATTAGATAAAGATTCAGTTTGATGGCCAATAGTCTATTTTCAAAATAGATTGAACTATTAGTTGATTGATTAGCTAATTAGTTTATTGATTAAGGGGTGGTTTCGCGAGCTTAGTTGGGTTTAGGTTTCTAGCCATGTACGAAATCGGTTAAGTTATTTAGTGTCAAGTTTTTTTCTGGTACACAATCCACCTATCGCTTTACATCCAGGTCCCCAAATAATGCTGGGTTCGGACGGAGGAAAGGGACGGTGGCCAATCGTCCCATCATGGCTAGGCATCGAACCCAGGTGCACAGGGCCTGATGATGCGAGGACACCGGTAGAATATTGACAAAATAATGACAGTGATAGTGACACATTAGTAGCAGTGATACAGCAGTTATTGTGACACATTAGTAGCAGTGATACAGCAGTTATTGTGACACAATAGTGACATTAGTGACGGACACAATAGTGACAGAGTATTGACAGTGACATAATACAGTAGTGAGTAACCGGATCTCTGTGACAAGAAGTGGCCATGGCCGGATATAAAGGAAGATAACGTGGGAGAGATATTCGGCTCTCCTCGTGTGATATGGTATGAATGTGTGCGTGTGTGTTAGTATGTTTGGGTTTGGGTTGATTTATAGGTCTGCACATGTTTTAAAAATACATATAAAATATTGATAACAGTAATCATCATGATTATATTGTTGATACTAATGCTATTATAGGCTTAGCACGTAAGGCAACAGAAGGCATTGAGGAACGTGATGGATTAGGGAGGTAACACGCAGGGCATGTGAGGCTGGTTAAAGTAATATTCACATCCGAGGGGCAAGTGGGCCCATGGGTCAGAAATGCGAACGCCGGGAGACGAAGGCAAATATTGGGAGATTTAACTAAATCAAAACGTCTAAACACGAAAGATAAGTGGTAAAAAATCATTAAATATATTGGAACCAACATTCATAAACACAGCCAAATGTAAACAAAATATAGCACATGGCAACACGACTACATCCCTGATACATTTCTACTCATACTAGATTATTTTTTGTTGGCATTGCTGATGGAAATATCAGTTAGTAATTTTAGGAAAATAGGCTATTAAGAAGATAATTTACACGACTATATTGGCACCGTAGTGTTTTGACCAGCTGAAAATGTAACGGTTCTGTTGGTAGGTAAACATCTATATTATTATTATTATTATTATTATTGCAGTCTCTCTTCTCCGGTGTCCATAGGGGACACAAGAGCTTCAGTTTCTCGAGCTCTATCCTGGGTGGTAGGCATGACCAGGATTGGCATCCCATCATACCCTTCAACAACATCCCCCAGGTCAGTACTAGCCCCATCCCCAGGTCAATACCAGCCGGATCCCGCAGCTCATTTGAATTGATATAAATGGTTGAGAAAGTGCATATAAATGGCTGACAAAAGTAACCACGAGTATTGGAAACCTACGACACGAAGAAAGATTAAAAATGTCTTCATTTGCAATCTCTAGACAAGTGAAGAATAAGGGAAGATTGGACTAACGTAACTTAATGGATGAAAGGGTGTAACAAGAGGAAATTACAAGAGTGAGAGAAATGCAGCAACACAAAAACGTTAGATACTAACTGAACAAGTTTTGATTCCGAAGAGAAAGATGGATGTTGAAGATGGAACGTGCTGCCAGACAACATAATAGATGTGCGGTCATTCAATTGTGTCAATAGTCCGATAGACATGAGTGGTTGTGGGTGGACATGAACACTAGTTGTCCTGCGTGAGCCACTAGGCTTTGTACAGTTCTCATTTTTTGCATTAAACCACCATAGCACAGCACACTATATTCGGTCATGAATGAAAACAATGCTCAATCCCCCCCTACTCTTGCCTTGGCAGGCTCCCCCTCCACACCAGCTGCAGGAGCTGCAAGTGAGCCCCTCACCACAGCCACTGAGCCCGCCCAGCACCGTCAGTAACAGGAAGCCTCCTGTCATGTTCACAGAAAATGGTACCATCCGTTTTCTATGTGCGGCGGCTGGGACGCCAGAGAGAGAGATTGGAGGTAAACAGGAGAGCGTACAGGACGCCCACCAAGCTTGGTAGCTACTAGTCATGTAATCATATTAAGTATTAAAGTCAGTAACCAAGTCATGACTTTATATCAACCCTACAACCAAGACTTCCTCAGTAACACACAAACACCACATTGGCGACGAGGATGAACTGTGAACGCAGGTATTTGTTCAGTTTCAAACACAAGGGAGAAGCATGCTGCCTGGAGGAGGAAGAGAAGCTGTGAGCGCCATACCCGATGCTGTATGCTAACCGATGCTGTGTGCTAACCAATGCTGTGTGCTAAACGATGCTGTGTGCTAAACGATGCTGTGTGCTAACCAATGCTGTGTGCTACCCAAGCTGTGTGCTACCCAAGCTGTGTGCTACCCAAGCTGTGCTGAAGAAACTGTGTACTGAGGAATCTGCCGACGTTGTGTACGAAACAACGCTTTGATGTGTACAAAACCTGATGTTTTGGTTACGAAACGACGCTTCGTGCTACAAAATTCATCACACTGGACTGACTGCTGTAACAACTGCTGTACCAACTGCTGTACCAACTGCTGTACCAACTGCTGTACCAACTGCTGCTGTACCAACTGCTGTGCCAACTGCTGTGCTGCTGCTGTGAGTAGGAACAACACATGTACACAAGGGCTTGGTAAGAAGTCAGTTGCTGCTATATTGTGCACTGTTGTGAACTTTTGCATTAAAATGCTTGTGTGCTTTGCAAAATTAAAGTAATTACAGTGAATTCTTGACTAACATATTCAGTGCAGTAAGTGTTTAATATTCTGAGGAACATTTAAGTGATAAGTTACATTTATTCAGTAAAAATGGCAAATATACCTCAGTTTCCTGCATTTGATCCTGACTGTGACCAGACAAACCTGTCACAGAGGTGGGTCAAATGGCTTAAAAGGTTTGAAAATTTGTTGATAGTTTCTGACATCAAAAGTGCTGAAAGAAAGCGTGCCTTTCTACTTCATTATGCAGGTGATAGTTTGTGACATCTTTGACACACTAAAAGACACTGGTGGTGCCAAAGATTATGACACTGCCAAAGCCAAACTAACAGAGCATTTCAAACCAAGGCAAAATACTGCTATGGAAATTATGCATTTCAGGAGAGCAAAACAACTCTCTAATGAAACTGTGGATCAATACCACACACGTCTGCAGGGTTTAGCAGCCCATTGTGAGTTTGCTGATGTTGACAAAGAAATCAAACAGCAAATAATTGAAACATGCACATCTACACGTCTCCGTCGAAGAGCTCTAGAACTTGTTGATGATGACAGTTCTCTTACCAAGATACTGGATATGGCTCGTCGAATGGAAGATGCTGCACGTGATGCTCGTGTCATGGAGTGCAGTGCCAACAACGGTTCTGCCACTGTTACTAACAGTGATGAGGTATGTAAGGTTCAGGGAGGATATCGTAATCAAAGAAGATATCATGCCAAATCTAACAGTAAATTTAGCCGAGAACCACGTCACAACTGGGGTCAAGGAACAAGACTCAAGCAGTCATAACGACCCACATCAGAGGGTGTCAACAATAAATGTTACAATTGTGGAGGAGACTACCCGCACCAAGGTAATGTTTGTCCTGCTCAAGGTAAGAAGTGCTATGAGTGTGGAAAACTAGGTCATTTTGGTGCTATGTGTCGTTCCGCACTAAAGAAACCACAGTCAATGAATAAAAGCACTGTACGAGGATCAGGTCATAGGGGTCGAGGTGGCAAACACAATATTGCACCTCATATCCAGAATGTTAATAATGTACAAGACAACATTTCATTACAACCAGTCTCAGATGACAGTGAATGTGATTATACTTATGGAGTACAAGCAATCACAGAATGGAATGATCTTCCAAACAACCCAGAGACATGTGTATACATTGCTGGTATTTGTCTCAAGGTTCTCATTGACACTGGATCAAACATTGACACCATTGCTGAGTGCCACTATGAGAAATTTAAAAAACAGTTCCCAAAGCTTGAGAACTATAATGGCAAAGCCACTGCCTATGCTTCAAAGGTAGCCTTGCCAGTGATTGGAACTTTCACTGCAGAGATTAAGTCAAAGAATGCAATGCTCATTACTACATTCCATGTTGTTAGGAATGCAAAGGAGTCTTTACTCAGTTACAAGACTTCAACCAAATTGGGGCTACTTCAGCTTTCTAATGCTGTAGCAGTGGAATCTGCAAACAATGTTGATGGTATTGTTGCTGAATTTTCTGATCGATTTAAATCCATAGGTTGTTATACTGATAGCAAAGTACATCTGCATATCAACCCAGATGTAATTCCAGTTGCCCAACCACATCGCCGACAACCATTCCATACTCGCAAGAAAGTCGATGCCGAACTGGATAGGCTGATAGAACTAGATATCATTGAACCAGTAACAGGCCCAACACCATGGGTAAGCCCAATTGTCACTCCACCAAAGCCGAAGAATCCAGATGAGATACGCATTTGTGTGGACATGCGTGTTCCCAACAAGGCAATAATGCGTGAACGCCATCCTACACCGACTATAGATGATATGATCTACCGCTTGAATGGTGCAACTGTATTCAGCAAGTTAGATTTAAACAAGGGCTATCATCAGCTTGAACTTGATGAGGAGAGTCGATTCATCACAACGTTTACGACACATCGAGGTCTGTATAGGTACAAGCGCCTGAGTTTTGGTATTAACAGTGCTGCCGAGGTATTCCAGCACATCATCAGCCAGGTATTGCAAGACATACCTAATGCTGACAACATGTCTGATGACATCATTGTTTATGGCCGTACCCAAGCTGAACACGACAAAGCTCTTCGTGCAACATTGCAACGCTTACGAGAAAAGAATCTGACGTTAAGCCGAGCAAAGTGTGAGTTCAATCAACATAAAATTGAATTCTTTGGACATGTACTTAGTGACAAAGGTCTGTCTCCAGATCCTAAGAAAGTTGCAGATATCAAGAATGCTGCACCTCCTTCAACGTCCACTGAAGTACATAGTTTTCTGGGAATGGCAAACTACTGTTCTCGCTTCATTCCAGATTTTGCTACCATTACGAAGCCTCTACGTGAGCTCCTGAAGAAAAATGCATCATGGTACTGGAGCGATATCGAACAAAATGCATTTGATGCTGTGAAAGATGCACTAGTAGAGAATGCGACTGCTGCATACTTTGATCCATCAATGGACACTGAATTAACGGTGGATGCTAGTCCTGTTGGATTAGGTGCTGTTTTAGCCCAACACAAACCTGGTCAACCAGATTCCCGAGTAGTAATTGCCTACGCCAGCCGTTCTCTCACAGATGTTGAGCAACGATACAGTCAGACAGAGAAGGAAGCTCTTGCTCTTGTATGGGGCTGTGAACACTTCAATGTGTATCTGCTTGGTGCGCCCTTCACCACGATGGTCACTGACCACAAACCGTTGGAGACCATCTTCAATAATCCAAAGTCCAAACCACCAGCTCGCATTGAGAGATGGGCTCTTCGTCTGCAACCATACAACTTTACGGTGAAATACAAGCCGGGTGCAGGCAATCCCGCTGATTACATCAGTCGACATCCTGCCAACAGTTTCACCATCACCAAGCATCAGCAAGTTGCCGAGGAATATGTACACTCTGTAACCTGTGATGCAGTCCCTAAGGCTCTCACTCTTGATGAAATCCGTACTGCAACCCTAGAGGACCCAACTCTGCAAGCAACAGTGGATGCATTGACTAAGAAAAAGTTTCCACGCATCCCACCCTCAGGAGTTGACCAAGATGCATTCAAAGCACTTGAACGCATCCAGACAGAATTAAGTGTTACGCAACAACGCGACACTGTGCTGCGAGGTACTCGTATCGTGATTCCAGCTGTTCTCCAGCAACGTGCTCTGAAGCTTGCACATCAAGGACACCAAGGTCTTGTTAGGACCAAACAGCTGCTACGAGAAAAGGTGTGGTTTCCTGGCACTGATCGTCAAGCAAAGGATATGCATGATGCCTGTGTCCCTTGCCAAGCTGCAGTGGATACTTCAAGACCAACACCTCTACAACCTTCACCACTACCTGCTGCACCATGGACGGAAGTATCGATGGACTTCTGCGGACCGCTACCAACTGGAGAGTACTTGATGGTAGTCATTGATGATCACTCACGTTATCCAGAAGTAGAAATCATCACTTCCACGTCTGCAAAGGCCGTCATCCCGAAACTCGACAAGATCTTTTCAAACTTTGGCATTCCTGAAGTTGTCAAGACAGACAATGGACCGCCATTCAATGGACAAGACTTTGTCAACTTTGCTGAGCATATTGGATTCAAACACCGCCGTGTGATGCCACTACATCCTCAAGCAAATGGAGAAGTTGAGAGATTCATGCAACCTCTCATGAAAGCGGTACGCTGTGCTCATGCCGAAGGACGATCCTGGAAACAAGCTATGTATGCTTTTCTCAGGAACTACCGTGCAACACCACATGGAACACTGGGCAAGTCGCCTGGCGAACTTTTATTTGGACGTCCTATGAGAATCGCATTACCCGTCATGCCAGCCGAGGTAATGGATAAACGTCTCGCTCAGAAGGATGCACTAGCCAAGGACAAAATGAAAATTGCTCATGATCAACGTGCAAAGGAACAGTTCATAAAGGTTGGAGATACTGTTCTCGTTAAAAAGAAAAAAGAGGGAAAGCTAGATATGCCGTATGATACAAAACCATATAAAGTGATTAGTGTAAAAGGAACTATGGTAACAGCTAGTAATAATCATAGTATTACACGTAATATGGCTTATTTCAAAGTGATTCCAACTAGTGTAGAAAATGATGAAGTGCAAAGTCGTGCAAAAGAAAAATAAAAAATGAGTTATAACCCGACAAACAATTCATCAAGGGATGTTATTGCATTTAAGGACTCTCGTCCTAAACGTCATGTTAAACGCCCTACACGATTTGATGATTAATTGTGTTCCTATGTAATGAAAAGTATTTACTTATAATGCTAAACTAAATTTAATATTGTTTGAATAATGCAGTTATCTCATTCAATATTTTGTAACTTTGTATTACAATTTCTTTCATGTTTGTTTAACATTGCATATGTATTTTTAACATTGAAATCCTTTGTGGAAAAGATTAAGTTGTTTAAATTCTTTGTGTGCTTAATTAATGTTAAATGTATGCAGTATCTCTTGATATGGTAATAACTTACTTTGTGTCAATAACTTTGCTTTGTGCTACAAGCATGGTAGACATCCTGTATTCATTCTTTTTAAAGAAAAGGAGGGATGTCATGTTCACAGAAAATGGTACCATCCGTTTTCTATGTGCGGCGGCTGGGACGCCAGAGAGAGAGATTGGAGGTAAACAGAAGAGCGTACAGGACGCCCGCCAAGCTTGGTAGCTACTAGTCATGTAATCATATTAAGTATTAAAGTCAGTAACCAAGTCATGACTTTATATCAACCCTACAACCAAGACTTCCTCAGTAACACACAAACACCACACCTCCCATGCCCCAGCTGGTGAGGGGAGACGGTCTGCCACTACCACCTTCGTCAGAAGGCCTCGTGACGTCCCCGGTCCCGACACAACCTGCAGGTTGTCCAGGTATGTTGGACCCCTTCCCCCCCCCCCCCCCCCCCCCCCCACCCTCCAAAAAATGATAGGAACTTTAATACATAACCTTTCCCCAACAGTCAAACACACGGCATAAGAATGATGGAAGAGAAACCATTCAGACACCAGTAAACTGTGATTGGTCGGTGATCTTTAAAGCTCACTTGGAGCCATTGGTATTTGTTTTGTAAATAAATCCAATGGCATGGTTTACGTTATGCAAGATTATTATTCACAGCCCTTAGCGATCTCTCGGCGAGAGAGAGAGAGAGAGAGAGAGAGAGAGAGAGAGAGAGAGAGAGAGAGAGAGAGAGAGAGAGAGAGAGAGAGAGAGAGAGAGAGAGAGAGAGAGAGAGAGAGAGAGAGAGAGAGAGAGAGAGAGAGAGAGAGAGAGAGAGAGAGAGAGAGAGAGAGAGAGAGAGAGAGAGAGAGAGAGATTGATTGATTGATTGATTGATTGATTGATTGATGAAGATTAAGCTACCCAAGAAGTGGCACGGGCATGAATAGCCCGTAAAGAGAGTTGCCAAAGCGGATAATATAGTGCCGTTGTGAGTCATGGAGGTGTACTGCAAATTGTAGTACCATCAAACCTCTGGCATACAATCGTGGGTGGTAATATACGATGCCTTTTAACATACAGGTAAACATACATTACAAGGTGTAGACGTGCCATTTACCTGTTGGTCAATAGAGGGAGTGACAGGGTATGTGGTCAATGAACCACACACATATATATGCAATTGAGAGCAAGTTATGGTGCAATCATTGCTCAATCTCTGAGAGTGCACGGGGATCTGTGTGTGTGTACTCACCTAGATGTGCTTGCTGGGTGTGTGTGTGTGTGTGTACCTACTTATCAGTACTTACCTATCTGTGACTACCGGGGAGTGTGGTCTAGCTCTTGATTCCCTGCCTACTAGCATTACACATTCCCAGGATGTACCCCACAACAGCTGTCTAACTTCCAGGTACCTATTTACTGCTGGGTGAACAGATTAACCCGTCCTCACACCAAGTCCATTCCGTCCAGCGGTCCACACCAAGGGACGCATTCCTAAATTTGATCATGCTGTTCATTCAAAATATGATTTTTTTTTTCAAATATAAATTAATATTGTTATATATATTAGCTACTGTGCATATTTAGACATTGGTTAGGTTAGGTGTTTAGGTTCTTTTGGCGATTATTTGTATTTATTGTTGTGAATTAAGGGGCGACGACAGTCGTGGGATAGGATGCGCCCCGGCGTACCCTTAAAGGGTTAATCGCCAATTCTAATGGCGAAACGAATGACGCATATCACCAGACACTAAGATGCCTCCCGTCAAAGAAACGCACAGACAGGCAGATGATTGGGGGAGCCCCAGGAGAGAGATTGAGAAATAAAAATCTACCTCTCGGCCAAGCCGGCGTTGGACACCTTCACCCCGCCGGGAGAACCAGCCATAAAACGTTCAAATCTACCAACCGTCCTGTGACCCAACACGGGAGACATCTCCCGTCACGCAGGGTACAGTCGCACCTCCACAGATCCCCAGTATCATCTATTGATACTGGTGATGGCTCAAAAGGGCCACCATTTACGGGCTATTCATGCCCGTGCCACCTTTTGGGTGGCTTAATCTTCATCAATCAATCATGTGACCCAAGGCGATATGTGCGCCAGGCGTCGTACAAACCGGACCGTTGAAGAGGGATGCCAAACAGCAGTACAGTATCAAATCCAAAATCGCGAAAACAGAACGTGATCCGGCGGCCCCCAGGCGGAGGTGGTGTCCAGGCGTCCGCTCGTCGTCAAGGTTGAACCAAGTTGTTGTTATATATTCAGCTACTGCGAATAAAAAGTTCCAAGTAGCACGGGCTAAGGTGAGCCCGTAGAGGACTTACCTGGCGCATGAGCGGGGCGGTGTTGAACCAGGAGCCTACTGGGCTCTATCATATCTACATTTGAAACTGTGGGACCTCCACCACATCACTGCCTAATGCATTCCATCTCTTAACTACTCTGACACTGAAAAAGTTCTTTCTAACGTCCCTGTGGCTCATGTGAGTACTCAGTTTCCACCTGTGTCCCCTTGTTCGCGTACCACCAGTGTTGAATAGTTTATCCTTGTCTCCCCGGTCGATTCCCCTGAGGATTTTGTAGGTAGTGATCATGTCTCTTACTCTTCAGTCTTCCAGGCAGAAGACACACTGTCTTCTTCCTGTGTGTGTGTGTGTGTGTGTGTGTGTGTGTGTGTGTTTACTAGTTGTGTTTTTGCGGGGGTTGAGCTTTGCTCTTTCGGCCCGCCTCTCAACTGTCAATCTAACTGTTTACTAACTACTTTTTTTTTCACACCACACACACACACCCCAGGAAGCAGCCCGTGACAGCTGACTAACTCCCAGGTACCTATTTACTGCTAGGTAACAGGGGCACTTAGGGTGAAAGAAACTTTGCCCATTTGTTTCTGCCTCGTGCGGGAATCGAACCCGCGCCACAGAATTACGAGTCCTGCGCGCTATCCACCAGGCTACGAGGCCCCGTGGGTGTGTGTGTGTGTGTGTGTGTATGTGTGTGTGTGTGTGTGTGTGTGTGTGTGTGTGTGTGTGTGTGTGTGTACTCACCTAATTCACCTAATTGTGCTTGCGGGGGTTGAGCTCTGGCTGTTTGGTCCCGAGAACCAGCCATGTGTGTGTGTGTGTGTGTGTGTGTGTGTGTGTGTGTGTGTGTGTGTGTGTGTGTGTGTGTGTGTGTGTGTGTGTGTGTGTGTGTGTGTGTGTACACCCATTATTTTGACACCTAATTTAAGAAGCCAGACGTATCATTCTTAAATATTATTATCTCTCCCCCGTGGCCAGCAGGAGGGCCGTCACCTGACCCTGGTGGCCCTCGGGGACACGTGACGGCGGAGGACCTGGCCAAGCTCCCGGCCTACCTGAGGGAGGCCCCAACCTGCGCCACCAACCGCTCCTTCTGTCTCATGCCGCTGGGGTACCCGAGGTGGGTGCTCCTTGTTGTGCTCCTCCCCACGCTACTATGGCTAATATCTCACTATCACCTCACCATCACTCTCTCTAGCTCCTCACCATCACTGCTACCAGCTCCTCACCATCACTGCATCTTGCTCCTCACCATCACTGCTACCAGCTCCTCACCATCACTGCCACCAGCTCCTCACTATCACTGCCACCAGCTCCTCACCATCACTGCCACTAGCTCCTCACCATCACTGCCTCTAGCTCGTCATTGTTAATCACTACAGTCAACTTGTAACATGACCACCGTCCCTACAGTCAAGATCTCACCATCACCACCATCATGGCGCTGTCACCACAGAAATATAATCACTGCCATCACCACAACCACAATATAGCTATAGGTATATATATTGCTGGTATAAATTGATCCCAGTTCGTTCCTAATGAACTGGGCTCGAACGCCGACCAGCACTTCAGAAGCGAGGCCGTCGTTGTATAGTTTAAGTGGCAGGGCAGGGAAGGTGTAACGTCTCAGGTAATGTCTAAGACATTATTCTCCCCCTATATCAATCAGCGGATGTCGTCTCAATGATGCAGCTGGGGTCACGTGACCCCCCCCCCAGCTCCAGCGAAAGGCTAATGTTCTTATATATGCAGTCATATTAAAAAATAATAATTAAAATTATTAATACTAATATTATTATAATTATAATTATTATTATAATTATTATAATTATAATTATCCTTTTCAGGGAAAGTAGAAAGTCTTAGTTAAGTATCATTAACGTACTTCTAATCTCCTTCCCAAGTTTGTCAGCATCTTGGTTTGGTTGCTAAAGGAACGGATTTCTATTGTTCGAGCCTAAGTTCGAAGCTCTGATGATCCAAACGAGTGAAGCGTATAATCGCTTTTCTGTAATAAACATATTTATGTCTGCATTTTTTAATTGATATTTTTGCATGTGTGTGTGACAGGGAGGTGGCGGCGTCCTTGGAGAGTAGTTTGGGATATTTTGAAAACTGAAGGGGTGGGGGGGGGGGGTTTGGCAAAAATGTGACCCATCGCTGCTTTCAGTAATTAGAATATTTTCAGTATAAAAATCGAAATTTCAAACAGCGAATATGTGCAGAGAGCCCGAATTTGGCTCAAGGGTCGAATTTGGGATGTTTAGGATGTTTTAAAAACTGCAGGGAGGGTCTGGGCCAAATGTGATCCATCGCCGCTTTCAATAATTGGCATATTTTCCGTATTAAATGTCGTAATTTCAAACAGCGAATACATGCAGAAAGCTAAAATTTGGCTCCAAAATATGGCTCAAGGATCGAATTTGGGATGTTTGGATATTTTGAAAACTGCAGGGAGGGTTTGGGCAAAATGTGATCCATCGCCGATTTCAGTAATTGGCATATTTTCGGTATAAAAATTCGTAATTTCAAACTGGGAATGCGTGCAGAAAGCCAGAATTTGGCTCCAAAATATGGCTCAAGGGTCGAATTTGGGATGTTTCAGATATTTTGCAAACTGCAGGGGGGGTTTGGGCAAATTGTGACCCATCGCTGCTTTCAGTTATTGGCATATTTTCAGTAAAAAAATTCGTAATTTCAAACTGCGAATACATGCAGAGAGCCAGAATTTGGCTCCAAAATATAGCTCAAGGGTCAAATTTGGGATGTTTGGGATATTTTGAAAACTGCAGGGGGGCTTGGGCAATATGTGACCCATCGACTCTATCAGTAATTCACATATTTTCGGAATAAAAATTCGAAATTTCACACTGCGAATACGTGCAGAGAGCCCGAATTTGGTTCCAAAATATGGCTCAAGCGTCGAATTTGAGATGTTTGGGATATTTTGAAAACTGCAGGAGAGGGGGGGGGGGCAAAATGTGACTCGTCGCTGGTTTCAATAATTGGCATATTTTCGATATAAAATATCGTAATTTCAACCTGCGAATATGTACAGAGAGCCAGAATTTTGCTCCAAAATATGGCTCAAGCGTCGAATTTGAGATGTTTGGGATAATTTG